AAAAATAAATAAACTACGTACTTTAGATCACCTATAGTTTGCGAACTCTACGTACAGAGCGAGAAGAAAAGTGTTAAATTAAACAATTGCCCGTTGTCTTTTTTTTTTTTTCGTGTCAACACAGGCCATGGAAAATTCAATTACTTACTGCTGTTGGCGATCGTGCCGACTTCTTGGGCAGCCGTGTACTCCTCCTCGTCCATGTCTTACATACTACCCTCGACGGAATGCGACCTACAGTTCACGGATCTGGAAAAGGGCATGCTCACCTCGATGCCCTCAGCAGGTGGAAATGAAATCTATCTTACTTCATTTTTTTTTTTTTTTCTTTTTTTTCCATCACTTATTGCTATCTTATCGGTACTTTGTGTAAACTATTATCTTTGTAATTTTTCTTTATTTTTTGAGACAACAGGAGAGACGGAAGTGGTGTTTTTTCAATGAGTGAGTTCTCGTTTTTTCTGAAACGCATTAATTCTTCCATTTAAATGAAAATCTATTCACGGACTTGAGTTTCACCAATATCTAAAGCTTTACATTTTCCACATCGGTTGGAATATTTCTTTGTTGAACAGTTTTTTTTTTTTTTTTTTTTTTTTTTTTTTTTTTTGTGTTGGGATAAAAAAAAAAAAAAAAAAAAAATCACAGGCGCGACANCATTAATTTCGCAAACATCAGAAAAATGAGAGCCAATTTGAGAAAAAAGGCACTTTCAAATTAAAAATTAAATGTATGATTAATTATTTAATTAAATAAATGAATCAATTGGCTATGCTGATCAAATCAATTTGTTTCTTTCGGGCACTGAAAGTTAGGACATATGCAAGCTGTGCTATTAGCCAATTGGTTATAAATTAGTAAAATTTGGCTTGGTAAAGGCCTTACAATTAAAAGTTGCCGGAAAGTTGCAAACGAAAGAAATAAATTGATTTTGACAGCATAGCCGATGGATTAATTTATTTAATTAAAATAACATGATGTCGATAGAATTGGTTCATTGATAATGATTAATTATTAATAAAACAATTTGTGTGTTTTCAAATACTTTGACAATAATTTAAACTGATTTTTGCAATTTATCATCATTAAGTTGTAAAAAACGTGTAAATATACCAATATAGTGACAAGAAAAGTCTTTTTTTTTTCTCTAGTCGCACTGGGAAAAAAATTTTTAGAGACTCATACTTTTAATACAACGCACACATCACATGTTATAAGTACACAGAGGAACCGTAATCATGTGACGTATACTTTGAATTTTTTTTTTTTACATTGCTATAAAAAAATAAGATGGAATTAGGTAATCATTTAATTATCTGAAAATCAGTTACGCGATGCATAATAAAAGTTATTATTTTATGGTTAAAACTATATCATGAGTCAGTGTTTTTAGTATTGTAGGCATAATATTTTGTTTCACCATGAAGTAATAATGAAAAGGAAATCAAAAAGATATCGGTACTTTTTTATTAATAATTTTTCAATATTTTGATGTAAAAATAAACACGTCATTTTCAAGGGTACAACTGAAACAAGGCCTACGGCAACTCGTCACTGTCAATCAGTCGACAACTGATTAACCGAACGCACTTTTACAAATAATGGCCTTATCCCCCGCTCGCGAAATACTTACAAAGCTGATAAATTTTTCTTATTTTTCTTCACTTCGAATCAGTCATATTAAAACAAAACAAACGTATTTTTCATCACAGGAATGGTAATAATGTCGCTGGTATGGGGATTCATCATCGACGCATTCGGTAGGAGGAAAATCATAGTCTACGGGTCTCTCTGTTTTGCCATCAACACTTTGGCCAGCACTTTCAGCCAGACCTCGTGGCAGCTGATAATTTTCAAGTTCATCGACGGCGTTGTGTAAGCACAAATACAATGTCACATATACTATTTGGACACCATCCCGACAAGATAGCCAGTGTCAATATACATACAATCGTTACGATTAATTTGTCCATACAAATTTCACAAACAATTGAATCTCATTAACGATTTTTTACGCATCACGTCCGCGATGACACCCCAATAGTTTTTATCCTCCTTTTAACCCGTAAGTGAAAATAAATGTATTAAAAGCCTTACCAAATACTAGCCTTTTTTCCCAGTCAAACGAAGGCTTGACAGTTTTCATTGTTATTCATTTGACAATACCTAAAAAAAAAAAAAAAACGAGTTAATGGTCGATTTTTTGATTCCAAAGGATGTCCGGTCCATACGCGGCGTTGCAGTCCTACTTGGCGGAGGTTCACAGCGAGCACAACAGGTCGCGGATCTACATGTGCGTAGGAATGGTGATAGCCGTTGGAAACATAAGCCTACCATGTGGGTACACCCAAGCGAGTTCACGTATATCAATATATAATATATACATATCGGAAAAAGCTCCAAGACTCACGAAATATCCGATTTCCGGCAGGTCTGGCGTGGCTGGTGATCCCGCGCAAGTGGCCCCTGTCCGACTGGGTAGAGATCACCTCGTGGAGGCTCTTCCTGGGCTTCACCTCGCTACCGGGTTTGGCCGCGGGCTTCGCCTTTTACTTCTTCCCGGAGAGCCCGCGCTTCCTCCTGGCCACGCGCCGCCACGACTCCGCCCTCGAGGTGTACAAACAAATCTACTCCCTCAACACGGGCAAACACCCCGACACCTATCCCGTAAGTTTCAGCCCCGGCTTTTCCCCCGAATATCGGTGTCGCTGACGAGCCCGTGTTTTTCTCGTCCCCATCCACAGGTCGCCAGCCTCGAGGAGGAGGATACCATCAAAATACAAGGGGTCACGTTCAAGGAGACCCTCAAGGGCTGCTGCAAGCAAATTCAGCCGATCTTCATGCCGCCGAACGTCGTCAATCTCGTTTTGACCTCCGCCATCCAGTGCGGCGCGACTTTAGGGTAAGGGCGACTTTACCCCTGTATTTTTGTGTATATACGGAGTTGGCTCGAATAACCTTCCTTTTTTTTTTTTTTTTTTTTTTTTTTTTATCTTGTCAATAGATCCAATACGCTGAGACTGTGGATGCCGATGGTCTTTGCCGTGCTCGAGACCTACGAGCAAGCGCACTTGGGCGGTCCCTCCACGACCATATGCTACAAAATCGGCAACGCCGGCTTCGTCAACGGCACTGCGAGTGAGGTCGTGCACTGCTCCAACGTGAGTGGTGACGATTTTTATTTCAAGTTGATTTCGGTTACAAAAAAAATTGGGCTCACGAGGGATGAATTTTAATTTCACAAGGCTAATTTTACTGCAACATATTATTAGTTGGGTACAATTTATTGGGGCATTAAACACCTGCATTTCATATGAAGCACATTGAAATTAAATGAAAAGCAGTTAATTTTTTTTTTTTTTTTTTTCACGCAAATCTGCAATTTTTCATTTTTTGTTTCTCATTGGCAATTGTGGACTAATCAAAACAGGGAGTACCCAAAATTACAAAAAAGTCTGTACCTGATGAATCGTTCGGAATCGTTGACACATACGTGAGTGATTAGATGTGGGAACTTTGCTTGAAATCGTTCACGAACGTATTTGTTATTTCCTCAATTTTCCTGGGTAATATAATTTACATACACGCAAGTTTGCGAAAATTGCGTCATTTTCACTCGATACTTACGCAATTGTCATGAATTTTTTTTTTTTTTTTTGTTGAAAATACCTGATTTTTAAGATTTTACCGCGGAATTTTGATATTAGATTAACAAATTGCACAATAATTACGAAAATATTGCAGATATTTGGTCACCAAAGTAGTTTTAAAACTTTTGAAAAATTGAAAATCATGTTCGCTGTGATTGTCGGTGAAACTCTCGGCTGAGATGAATTTTCATGAGCCACATTGCACGTAATGCATACACACCTCACGCTAACAGTCTATTGTTGGGCTTTCATAGATGGGCAAAAAATAATTTTTAAAATTTTGCACTAAAAAAACGTTGGCTTACCAATTATAAAAATCGCTCCACGTATTACATGTGCTGTACTAACCTGGAAAGCTGCATGCGGCTTCAAATGCCTTTGGATCCTTTGATTGCCTACGAAAATTTGTTTGAGCAGATTTGCTCGTAAAATTTAAGTTCCAAAATCACGTAATAAATGTTTTTTTGCAATTTTTGCTTAAACAATTGTAACCGAGAAAATATTTTTATGAAAAAAAAAAAAAAAAAAAAAAAAAAAAAAAAAAAAAAAAAAAAAAAAAAAAAAAANTTGAAATTAAATGAAAAGCAGTTAATTTTTTTTTTTTTTTTTCCTCGAATGCTTTTCTACTGTTTACACGCTGTGGCAAATGTATGTTAAAATCATTTACCTTCAAGTAGTAAAGTACTGCCGATTTTTCATCAACTTTTGCCGATCATCCATAAACTTTAATACGCGAGCAACCAATGAAAAAGCAGTTTTGTTGCATTCGTTTAATCATTGGATCGTAGTAAAATCCACACATTATGTCACAATAATTTTTAATATTTTGCACTCTCACGTGTCGGTCATACCTATACATAGTAAGTATGGCCACGTATAAACTGTATTTACGTAATAATTGCAAATACTGATTAAACTGAACCGAATACATCCATATAGGTTGTCAACGACACGGTCTATACAAATTCAATAGTCATATCGGTAGCAACGGTCATAGGGTACATTATTGCCAGAAGCCTAGTGAATGCCATTGGCAAGAGGATCCTCATGGGTGAGATGAATACGTTATATACTCCCTGCATGTTAATACTTTTTTTTTTTTTTTTTTTTTTATAAACAAAAGCATTCTTCTTGTTTTCAGGGATTTGCTTTTTTGGAGCTGGCTGTTGTTGCGGGGCTCTATACTGGGCCAGGAACTCGAACGAAATCCTCGCGATAGCATCGGTGTTCGTCGCGCTGACTAGTATCGGCGGCACCATAGTCAATAATTTTGTCGTCGACGTATTTCCGACTACTTTGAGGTAAGCTAAGGGCCAAACGTACGTGTACAACAACAAGTGACTAAATTACGAAATGCCAAAATTTTGCAATGTCGCTCACCCAGAAAGTACCTCATATTGATGTTAACTGAGGGTGTACACGCGTAAAATAGCCGATAATTAATAATTTGTATAAAATCGTTCCAATGAAATGTTTTCCGTGAAAACTAAACTGAATTGTGATCTTTGGATTTACCTGCGCTTACATACGATCGCAATTCTCGGCATCCCAATGAAAAATTAATATCGTAAACACCCGATTTTTATGAACCCGTCTCTTTTTATGCTGTCTCGACTGTACGTGCCATTTACGACTGTACCAAGAAAATTTTAATAATGCTCACATCATCTAAACATCTTTAACAATTTTTTTTTTTTTTTCAGAGCCATGGCTTTGAGCGGGACAACAATAATAGGTCGCATGGGAGCTTTCGTGGGTAACCTGGTGTTCCCCATACTCTTCAGTCTGGATTGTTTGGCGCCATTCATAATGATAGGCTCCGCCTGCTTGAGTGAGTAAACTGTCAAACGAATAAACATGTGTGCAAGTGTCAGCAAAAGCCAACGTTTTTGATTTCAGTGTGTGCTCTGTTGGTTCTGGTCTTACCAAGGAAAACAAAAGGTTGACGCCGTTTCGGGACCGACTGTCCAAACCAATCTCTTTGGAACGAAAAAATTTTTGCCGAACGAGCGTGAAAAACGTTAATCGTGTGCATTAATTGCACATAGTATTGTACAGGAAACTCGCGAAAACGCTTAATTAAGTTTAAGAAACGATCGCCTCTGTCGTACGCAACAAAAGATTGTGATAATCATTTTTTTTTTTTTTTTTTTTTATTCATAATTTGTGTGTATGATTTAATACTTTAGGTATCCGTCATTGTAAATAACACACATGTACAGTGCCACTTTGAGTAATAATCGTCGGCTCTCGGTAACGCAGTTTAAAACGTGTTCATAATTCATAGCGTATATTATGTATTTTTTAATAAACTTTTTAAGTATTGTTCATTGTGGCAGTATTGTTGGGATATATAACACAAACTAGTTTTTTGTAAATTTAAAAAAAAAAAAATTCCTATACACGTATTCACAAAAGTACAACTGGTGAGATAAGCGTGAAAAATCACGACGTCTCGATTGTAAGCCTTACCGTTATACCTCTCACCCGTGCCGTTACTATTTTCGTTTTTGCAACCGCGTATACACTCAACTTTTACGTAAACACGCGCCGCAATTTCTCCAGAAATGACGCATAAAGCACAGCGTAACGCTCAATGATGTAAAAAGGGGAGGGGGGGGGGAAAGAATCAGACGACTGGCTTTTTCACCCACACCCAACTCAGCGTACCCATCTATAATGAGCTGCCCGAGTGAAAAATCGCCGTTAACGTTGATAAACGTGATCAACAATATACGCTGCGCCTCGAGGGAGGGAGTCGATTGACGCGGAGCGCAAACAAGTTTGAAAAAGCGCGTCTTATCCATTCTCCGACCAATACGTTGTAGCCCCAGCATGCCAGTATATGTATATTACAACGGACGAAAGAATGACCTGGCTATCAGGGTCAGAAGCTGATGATAAACCCGGTGAATAACACGCGCACGCATGGCACAACAAGCTACGATAGCGTCATTTATGAAAATCGAACAGAAGAAAAAGCAGAGGAGGAGCGCTCGGGACTTTTTTTTTTTTTTTTTCCCTTTCAAGTATATATCGAAAAGAGAGGAGTAGGCGATAGATAGCGATTACGAAAAAGTACCGTTGCTCGATGATATAAGCGCATCTCCGAGCTGGTGGAGCTGGTAGTAGCTTTGGCGCCTCTTTCTCGCTTACAGATTCACTTGGCGTGTCGAGGAGAGTCAGGCAACGCGGTGTATCGTCTGTGGCTTACACGTCGTATTTTTGATTTTTCTCCTCGAGTCGTACGTCTACGTGAAAACTGGGTGGAGGAGACTCGGCACCGAAGTAGCCGTGAGTTTCATTATAAAAATCATTTTTTTCTTTGGGATTTTTAGTTGAAAAAAAATAATAATAATTTGAGAGAATTTAAAAAAAATGTTTTTTTACTACATTTGATCCTTCCGTTTTTTTACGTAGCTTGATTTGGACTCTTTTTTAACGATACAGCAACTGTTTTACTCTCGAATGTTACATTTTTTTATTGTCTGTAAATACATTTTTAAATTACATCAAGTATAGGCATCGAATATTTCATACGTATTTTCGGATGTAGGAAAAAAAAAAATATTATTTAATCTTGGGCGAATCATATTGGTATCAGCAATAAAAATGTAAATCAGTAGTTTAAGGGATAAAAATGATCACAAAAAATGCCTGAATTACAGCTGTACGGACTGACATTATAATTTCATCTTCATTGAAAAGTCTTGGATTTGCGAAACCGTTAATCTAGAAACTTGAGTTTTCAAATTGAATTAAAACCGTTTCATTCGGAGGCAATCACCATTATCCGCAAACGATAAGTGGTTTCACAGTGCCGAGAAGTAAGTAGTAATTTGCGTCGCGAGAGTTCTCTGCCACACAATAATTGCTCGATGTTGGACGCACGTACGTTACAATTAATTCCTATAAATAAACACCGTGGGCGCCGAAGAGTTTATTTTTACACTCCGTGCGAGTAAAAATAATGTTGTACACAACCGATTTCTATCGCATCGCGACCAAATGAATTGTTGTCAAACAATATAATTACGAATATCCTTCTCGCGCGCGTTTAACACATTTTAAACTCTCTCGTAAATCGCAAAGTAAAACCAAACACCTTTCGAGTCAAATAACTAGTCAAAGTCATTGTCCTACAATTATTACCCATATACATATTGCTACGCACAATTGCGCAAACTCGAGGGAGTGAAAATTAAGTTTATTGCCATCGCGATCGATCTCCTATAAATTAGCTCTGATGAGTTGTCTGGAGATTACACCTGATTGCGCGAACAATGCTGTCCCTGCGTGCACACGCGTCCATCTGCGTCGCGCATCACGCCCTTGAGCATATTTTAATATTATGTATTACGCGCGCGATAAGCTGTAATATTATTTTTAATGACTCGAAGTACTTACATTAATTATTGGCACATATATAAGGAAACGTGGAATCCTCACGCCTCATTTACTTTTTCGGTGTTACATGAATACCTTCTATTGAATTATTGCTGCCGTCGGCTAATACTTACGCGAACTTTCCGGATTAAATTGTAAAAAAAAAAAATGTTCACGCTCCCGCCACGTGCTCGCCCAGACGGCTTTATTACCTGAACCCTCTCTTTCGCAGATTTTTTTTTTTTCCAACTCCACATGTGTGCGCTAGTGTTTATTTTTTCAACGAGGAGCAGAGAGAAAAAGTTTGTCTCTTTTCATGTTGGAGCATCGCGGATTTGAGCTTACAGCTTGACTCTCGAGGCTCCAGTAATAATATAGTTTTTATTCGTTTTTATTCCGTTGTTTAGCTCCACACGAGTACTGGACACCATTTCGAATGAAAATTTCAGAGCACCGTTTTTTCAATGCAACATTAATGTATTTAATCTTAATATTTTAAATACACATATTATATAATAATGTACGGTTTAAGTTCTTCCCACGACTTTGCAGTTGTGTACGTCAAAGACCATTAAAATATTTAATCATTAGAAGCTAAAAAAAACCGATAAAAATCAATAAAAATAAATTAAATAAAAAAATTAAAATATGATAATCATTATAATTTTAGCTCGCGTGTTTGGTTAAAAAAAAAAACTTTCTACACGGTTTGGAAAATTAAAAATAAAGTATACGAGTTTTTAAAATTTGTTTTTACAAAGTTTGAAATTACGATGTTTTCAAACTGCAGTTTTCACCGATCATTTGCTTACAGCTTGAGTGACAAATTACATCACTCGGCCAATCCAGTGCAATTGTAACTCGATGATACGTGCAGCTTCTCTTACGTAAGACCATTTGAGTTTCATTGAAATTAAATTTTCATCTCTGGCGGTTGCGTCGAAACTGTAATGGATCGCGGGTGTAATGTGTCATAGGCAAACAAGAAAATCATCGATTTCTTATAACTTAATTTCCGCATAATCAACCGGATTTCAAGTTCAACTCCGAGTAAAAAAAAAATCGACTCGTATAATGCAAATCCATCTCGAACAGGCACCCAATCATTGCAGTCATATTTTCCAATCGAGTAAACATTGAAATGTTATGAAAATCGACATGTGCAAGGCATGTGTGTTCCTCTTAACTCGCTGCGGTCATAAACTGACTCCGTGTATTAATTAACAGGGGACGTGATTGAATATGCCTTTTCCATTGTTACTCCATACGTTCAGACTTGGGCGTGGATACTTGTAAGATTTTTTGTAACATAATTTTTTCCCAAAAATGTCACGCATTACTTGCGCTAAAAAAACCTTTTTTTTCTCAATTACTGCTCGTAAGACAGCGTTTAAACAATTTGGACGTAAAAAAGTAATCAAATTGTTCGAAAAAGTATTTAAAAATATAAATGCAGTTGTTTTACAATAAACTTTCATCAAAAACAGGAGTTACATACTTGTTTCCCAGAAAAAAAGAGACTTGCGTAAGTATCGTACTTGTGAATAGTATACAGATAAAAAATGTTTTTCACCAGACGCATGCACTTTAACGAGGAAAACAAAAATTTCTTTTTAATCCATAAAAAAAAAAAAAAAAAAAAAAAAACTGGTGCCCAAATCTGTATACATTTTACTAGCTTTATCGTTGATTTCATGAATAATAATTCTAATAGCCTTAATAGACCGCGAAAATAATCCAATCAAAAAGATATTCACCGGTTCGTCGTAGTAAACCATCTCATGTAATCCGACAACGATTGTAAACGTCGACTATACTCCCCGCACGCGGTTGTCGTTTGCAGAAACTCACTGGGCAACCTGCACTCCCAGAAAAAAGGGCAAGACCCTAAAAAAAAAAAAAAAAAAAAAAATTGTGCAAGGGGGTTCGCGAAAAGCGCATGCGTCCCGGTAATATTCCACGCGATAGCATCGCACCCACAGGATCCCTTGTTTTGCCCTGTAACCATACTAGGCGCACCCAACACCCATATACACGTGACAAAAAGCCGACCCCCCTTCGAACGTCGCAGTAAACAGATGAGGATAGGAGAAAGCTCTCCAGAGTTTACAAGCAGTGTTATTCTGTCACGGTGCGAGGAAACGTACGGACCTGCCTACCCAACGGTCGCTTCTCGAACATTCGGATACTACGCACTTGTTCAACTACTTTTTTTTTCCTCTCTCTCTTCGTTGTGTTATCTTCTCTCGCGCATCGTTCGAACACGTTAATTTGGCAAAACCCTTGGATATACCTGTACAACCGACTTTTTGCGTGTTTTTTCGAAACGTAAGTACACATACATCGTTGGAAAGGTGGGCCGATCGATATAACTCTCGAGCCGTGGATTGTACCGTCGCACCCCATAATAGTCTTGAGGAAGGAGCCGGAGAGGGTTTTCCGTTTTCCTCGTGTTATGGCGTCTGTTAAGTCCAAATCCTGCGACGTCGCCGAGAACAATGCCTTGGGTCTGCTCTGCGCGAAGTTTCGGCGAATCGGCAAAAAACGCAAGCGTTGGGGTGAGATTCTACAAATATTAACAATATACCTCCTTGATTACGTATGTGTGTGTGTGTGTGCGATATTATTGTTTGTGTTTTTTTTATCCCGGCGGTGGCCAATTTAATCAAGTGTACATGCAGATTATACATATACGCTTATACTGATGAACACGCCGGAGAGGGCAATTTTTTTTTTTTTTTTTTTTTTTTTTAATGAAAAATGCAAAACAAATAACTTTCAACTCCGTCAAAACGGTAAAAATGGACACTTTACACCCAAAGAGTTGAATTTTAGCTTCTTTTTTCCATCTGTGTTTCAGGCAAAACAGTTAATAATATTTCAAGAATATTTTAATGGTTGTAACGTGAAATAATAATGGTTTCGTGAAATGGCCCGTGTGCGAGATCGGTGTGGATTTGTGATTGAAAATCTAGATAAATAATCAGTGCGTGTACTCATTGTTACGCCGTGTGTTTTAATATATCGTGTAATAATAGCTCACGCGTGCAATCGATTGGGGTCAGCACGGCACTTTGATCCCTTTTTTTTGTTCCTTTTTCGCACTGAACGGCTAAACGATTTGCTTTATTGAATTATCACTCTTGTGTGCACGAATATGCGCGTACAGCTGTATGAATGCACATAAATACATATACGTATATGTTCGCGTATCGGATGAACTCTTTGTTTTGGTTCATTTAATTATCGGTAAATTACTTACCGGTCAAGTAATTAATTTTTCTTTATCCTCGTTTACAATCATTCCACAATTATTTTCTTGACTCTTATATCGTTATCATGTCATACTTTTACCATCCATGATAATATGAGGTGATAACTAAACCATAAGTTATAATTATTATCGGGTGCAATATATGGCTGCAGCGGTACATTCGTTTGTACGTACATAATAATATTCAAAGTTCGTTTGATAGAAAAAAAAAAAAAAAAAAAAAAAAAAAAAAAAAAAAAAAAAAAAAAAAAAAAAAAAANCAAGGGACAACAACAACAACAACAACAACAAAAAAAACAACAACAACAATACTGCCAGTACCTAACCACAACTTTCTTTCGCGCTCACGGGTATTTAAGCAAGTGAAACCAAAGCGAAAGGGTTATTTACCTGTTTAACGTTTGCGGTGAAACTTACACAAAATTATGTACAATCTCATAGTGCCGTATAATACTGAGGTATAAAAACACTCGCCGATACGTAACCATATTTCGAGAGAGACTCTGTTTGATTTCATTTTGAGAAGGTGAGTGTTTTTATATCGGTTATTCTGGATTATTGGTTCGTTAAACTTTATAATAATTATAGTCACCTCTTACGAAAATGTGATTTTTTTTCTTCAAATTGTCACTAACGAGGTATCAATGATTATTTTGTACACTCTTAAAATTAGCTTTTTAAATTAACTATAAATGTTCAACTTTACAAAAAAAAAAACTTATTTTTCATTCGCACAGTGGAAAAATTGCAATTCGTGAAAGATATGAATCGTATGTTTTTTTTCTCTTAAGAGCCGACGATATGACGACGAAAAACGTTAGCAGATGGGTAAAGTACTATACCGAATAGAGTTTTGATTTATGTAGAAAAAAAATTGTCGTATTAAATGTATATAACCCGTATTTACTAAGTTTATAGGCAAAAATCAAAATGATAATTAATACTTTCGGTCGTTACTTGATGAAGATTCAATTCTATATTAAAATCAAATGAAAAATGAGTTTATAAATAAATCTTCACAATTTATTATATAAATAAATATCAAAATGATGTTTGACTTGCGTATTAAAGCGATATCCATATTTATAAATCATATGACGCCACAACTATACTTGCTTTATCTGTTAAAAAAAAAAAAAAAATTATTTTTATGTATGTATGAAAACCGTTAGTTGTTGGTTCTTTTGCATCACACTCGTAACGATGTATACACTCAATCAACAAAAGATAAGAGAAATGTGTGTATAAACATACACGTCGAAATCTTCGAAAGTTTTCTTTTATGGTCCCTCAGTCTCAGATTCCGACTTGAAAATTCATGTTAGGTGGACTCTCGTGTCATCGTCAGTTTTTCAAGAGCAATCGCCTCGATTAGATCGAAAGTAACCGGCAAATCGGGCATTTCATAATTTTCATCAACAACCCAACAAACTATTCTGCGGTTTTCCTAAATCATCACCAAACTCACGATCGGTTCAAAATCATCCTCAACTACCGATCCAACCGATCATGCCGAAATAGCGCAACCACCGTTCGTTGTAAAAAGCATTTTTTTTTTGAAAAACTTTCGATGTATACACACATACTTCACACGCTTGACAACGATAACAAACCTCCACCAGCGGCATCTCGCGTGAGAGAGTCAGCCGCGGGCAAAAACCGGTTTCGTGTGTACACTTATACATAACATCACGGAGGCTCGGGTGCCGGGACGCCAGGGGAACGGAGCACGTGCTCAGCGAGTGATGGAGAAGTTTTTTTTTTTTTTTTTTTTCTTTCAACCACGTAAGTATAGGTGGGCATACAACGGACACACAGCCATACTCGGGCATATCAAGCGCGAGAAAGAGAGCGAGAGATCGGGAGAGGCAAGGGGGAGGAAAACCGGCATCGTTAGGAGAGCACGCGCTCTGTGTTTTTGGAGCCGATGCGAGTGTGTCACAATAGCGCGAGTCTTCCTGGAGACTGTTACTTTGTCGTTTGATTTTGTTATTACTTTGGCCATATACTCATTTACCAAAGGACATAAGGAGGAGCACATACGTATACTCCTAGCGTTATCGGCAAAGACACCTGCAGGATACGGAGAGAAATCGGTGGAAGAGGAGAGAAAGTCGGGCTCGTGTGTTTAAAACACGCGAAAGTCGTTGCTTTATGTATACATTTTACGTAGCCTCTTCTTAACGGCAGTGCAAGTTTTGCGATTTCGCACTGGAATTAGACAGACACTGTAACAATTTAATATCTGTTTGCCAACCAGCAAAGGATAATCATGATATTGGCGCCTTCGAACAATAACCGTTGGGTGTACACGATGCACGGATTGGAGAAGCGCGTGAATAACGATGTCTCCGGTAATATATTGACAAACATTTGTTACATATATTATATTATATATGTTATTAAAATTCATAGTTTTACACCAACTTGTTAATTCGCCTCATGTCTTTTGTGCCATTTACTCTATAAATACTATACCAGTGAAATATTCATGATATTTTTTAAAACTATTGTAATTAAAGATACGGTTTACTGTGGCTCATTTTCCAGTCGTGGTATGCAATTAAAACACCACCAAAAATGAAAAAAAAAAATATATTCCATTCCACTTAAAAAATTGAGAGAGTGGCACCAAAAAACCCGTGTAGGGTTTTGGTTCAAAAATTCAAAAAGTTCAAAAATGGAAAACATTGTTTTAATAAAAATTGGTTAATATATTTGGCTGCACAAAAAAAAACAATTTCGGTTCGGAAAACGTNCAAAAAACCCGTGTAGGGTTTTGGTTCAAAAATTCAAAAAGTTCAAAAATGGAAAACATTGTTTTAATAAAAATTGGTTAATATATTTGGCTGCACAAAAAAAAACAATTTCGGTTCGGAAAACGTTTGTTCGCCTCATTGTATGTGTTTGGGTTATGTACTATGACGAGTGTGTATGTGTACACTTACGTAACGTCTTGGTTTACGAGTTTCCTGTAATAAAAAATGTTGAATATACGCATAGGTACAGAAATAAGCCATCACGAGCCGCTATAAATTTTTACTTTTTTTTACAACGCTCGCGTCGTATCGTCTCTCAAGATATGCAGCGACAAAATTTTTGAGCAAACATATTGTCAAGATGAACTAATTATTCAAATTTACCATCACCGATGCGTCCAGATCCATAACGAGCCTCATGGATCTCGGTATACGGTTGCCGAACCGCGTTTCGTATCTCGAATCAAACGCAAGCGCGAATTTTTCGATCTTAATCGAACCTCAGGATCCGATCGGTGGGTTTTTACGTAGTAAATTTCCACACGTGAGGTAGACTAAAAAATTTCCGTTCCTACATGAATCATCATCACCCTCATCGTCATCATTGTCATTAATTTATTATTAGATTCAGGCAATGTCATTGTCCATGATTGATGTGCGAAAGAAAACCAAAATGTGTATATATAATCATACGTATACACATCCGCTTACGAGTAAAACATTAGTACAATTAGCTGAAATATCTGCGGGCGCTACTGTTTATACAAATGTTTTGGAGTGCGGGCTTGTCGAGTAAGTTTTATCTTTTATTCGTCTTCGATGATAATGACAACCTTGTGTATTATGCACACGTCACTGTTATAACCGATGTCATCGCAACTTAATTCCATCGCACAAACTAATAGCGTGTTATCGAGGGGGAAAAAAAAAACCAGTTTACGTAAATTTGACGATAGTTTTTAGTCGTCTACAAAGTAATGCAACAAAAATAGACGTTTTCAAGTTTACACTGTTTTCGGATGGAAAATATGTATGAACCGGTCCCAAGCTTTTAGTCACCGCGAGGAGCGAGCACAATAGCTGCATACGAATGTATACACACTCGAGAGCACCGACGCGCATATTTTTTTGTCTCACTGGCTTTGCTAAATATAAGTGTATTGGCTGCCGGCCGGTGTATATACACACTTCATTTGCCCGAAGGTCGAAGCGTGGCTTGATAAGTTTTCATTTTTTTTTTTTTTTTTTTTTTTTTTTTTTTTTCATGATGATTCCTTCGTTCGGTTGGATAAGCGATCGAACGAATTTTTCAACCTTAATAGCGATTTTTTCTCTTCATTGACATTTTTCATCGCTCGCTGACGCATCCGCGTTTAGCCGCACTATCGCGGCGCTTATCGCGAAAAAGAGAGCCCCCTTTGCAACGCGCACGCAAACATGTGTGTTTTTGGCTCTCGTTGTACTTACACCATACGATTTAAAACGCATGTTACTGTGCTCTTGTGACAAAAATTCGCTTACACGGTACTTTCGATCGATCGAAAAACACGTATTTTCGAATTTTCGTTAAAAACGATAAACGAGGTAGATATTGTTTTTCCGCCCTAAGGTATTGTATATTTTTTTTTTATTTCATGAAAAAAAGTTGTCATCTCTCCCGCAAGTTGTTTTATCATCGATAAGAGAACCAATTATATATTGTTGTGGATTATGTAAAAAGAGACAAAAGTTGTTTTGTTTCTTTTTTTCCTTCTCCGGCGCATATGCGTCTTATACACATGTTTTCCGATAGGTATACACGCGCGTATGTACAATAGGCACGATAAGAGGCTTTGCTCCACCACCTGCATTTTACTACCGCGTCGTTAAACCGTGCCTTTTTGTGCCGATCGACGGATAAAAATCCGAGACAAAGGGGCACTTTTTTTCACGAACACGTACATACATGCCACGAGATAAAATTGCACGTCGCGCGTGAGAAAAAAAAAAAAAGAAAATCCACCAGTTGTATCGAGCGCAATTAAGTAATACTATTTATGGCCCTACAAAGCTATTATATTTATACCGATGTTCACCCGAGAGACCGTGACACTTGTACTCGATCACTCCTTTGACGAACGCGCACCCGAGCCTTTAGAATTGTATATAATTGTTATAATGTAGTTACTTTCCTTTTTTTTTTTTTTTTTTTTTTTTTTTTTTTTTCAACCCAAATTTCTGCATCGTCAATTGATCTTCCGATGCATTGATCTGATATAATTGATTAACCGCGCGTTTACAGCCGGAGAAGTCATGGCTGCTTCCGTGGCGATGTTCGCCGTGCTGTGGCTCTTTGTCCAAACGACGGGCCTCTTTGGGCCGCCCAGCTCGATCGGGGCCTTCCAGCTGCCCCTCACCTTGGAAAACTACTTTCCCCGCAGCACAGGTAAAACCCTCAAGGCCCCACGTATATATATATATTGGGAAAAGAGGGGAAAAAAAAAAAATTCTTATATAAATTTATAAAATAATTAATTATTTTTTTTTTTTTTTTTTTTCATATTCATGTTATTTCAGCTGTATACGTCATCCATTGATTTTTTTTCTATAATCATATATTTGTGCATTCGCTATACACGTGTGTAAAATATGTNACTCCTTTGACGAACGCGCACCCGAGCCTTTAGAATTGTATATAATTGTTATAATGTAGTTACTTTCCTTTTTTTTTTTTTTTTTTTTTTTTTTTTTTTTTCAACCCAAATTTCTGCATCGTCAATTGATCTTCCGATGCATTGATCTGATATAATTGATTAACCGCGCGTTTACAGCCGGAGAAGTCATGGCTGCTTCCGTGGCGATGTTCGCCGTGCTGTGGCTCTTTGTCCAAACGACGGGCCTCTTTGGGCCGCCCAGCTCGATCGGGGCCTTCCAGCTGCCCCTCACCTTGGAAAACTACTTTCCCCGCAGCACAGGTAAAACCCTCAAGGCCCCACGTATATATATATATATATACATGTGTACATATGTAGCACCATACTCGCTCGCAGACATATCGAAACTAAGCCCTGGCGAGCCGGTGGTGCAGATAGACGTGAACATGCCCCCGGGCAGGCGCCTGCCACCTATGGACCAGGCGACCCTCAACGTATCGTTGAAGCTCGCGACCGAGGGTGTATCTAGGCTCGAGCGCCTCGAGATGAATCTCGTGGGGGCGGGTGCGACCCTGCCCGTGGACAGCCCGGCCTACCGGCAGTACCTCTACAGCCGGCCCAACACCGACGCCCTGGACAAGGCGCTCAGGGCCCTCATCGTCATCGGGGCGTCCACCCACCTGGCCGGGGCTTACTGCGCTAGGTACGTGTATAATATGGGCTCCTCCTCCTTTGTACATGTGTGTAGAGGATGGGTGTGTTTTTTTTTTTTTTTTCCGGTGTACGCAGGTACGGGGTTAAGGAGATGGATTGCGCCCACTTGTTGTCGGCCCTGAAGCTGGACGGCACGCCGATGGGGGGTTCTTGCCACGCGGACCAGCTCGATTGCGACGTGGATTCCGAGTATCGGAGCTTGGACGGCAGCTGCAACAACCCCCAGAATCCAAGGTGGGGGAGTGCCTTCACCGCCTACGGGAGGTTCCTCTTTCCTCGTTACGCCGACGGTGAGAGTTCCGTTTTTCTTCTACCCGATGCTTTCTAATCACAGGCTGGTGATGGCTTTCTCTCTCTCTCTCGTTTGAATGGCCAACCAATTTTTACTTTGCTGTATATATAGAGTTTTTCTTTTTTTCTTCAATCATTGCCACTTTCCGACATTGGTTTCGTTTTTTTTCTATTTCTTTTTTTTTTTTGCTACATGCAATCAGTTTTTTGTCTCAACGTGCTTTCTGCCGAATTTTACGTTTACAGCAAAAATCATCGTCATTGGGTTATTCACGTACAGCAGTTCAATTACTTAAAAAAAAAANAATGACCGTCCGGACCGGAAATATTGTTTATATTGTTTTTGGGACAATCGTTTAATCATTGTCAATCGACGAAAAGTAGCGTCATTCAGATTTCTCAATGTTATTGTAAAATGGTGATACTTTTCGTCGGGATCGTTGGAATGAATAATTTTTACCAAGTAAATCCGCCCTTGCTTGGACTATTCAAATAGAAAATTCAAAAGAGGAAACGAGGAATTAATATAGTGTATACATACCTTTCTTGGCCACTCGTGTCCCAACAATTTAATCGGTACTCGACATTTTTTACTTGCAAAACTTTGGAATGGAATGCTGCGCCTATAGTCTAAATCAAAATAGCTGTACCAACGATTTATCTCTCATTCGTACTGAGCAATAAACAAAAAAGCACTTACCTCGCGCTCGGACTCACTGTACGCATTTTTGAAGTATCGATTCATTAAACAAGTTTTCCCCGTCGAACTTTCCCCCAAAAGCACGACTTTGATGTTCTCCCTAGTGCCGATAGCCGTCATGGTCTTACTCTTATTAACATATATATTTGAACAGAAATATTTCAAACCGGTGCGCGTGAATGGAAATTTGTAAGTAATGAGTCATACGCGCGCGCGTCTTATCGGTTTCACACACTTTCGGCGAAAATCATGGCGTTCGATTTGCGAAGCGATAAGCTTTTTCTTCTGATCGGTACAGTAAACTCCGCAATTCACGGTGTTTTTGACAACCGGTCATACATTTTGCCGAAAACTGTGTCACTCAACAATAGGCAATTATTTATCTGAAGCGCTGAATCTCAACAACCTACCCGTTCCGTACATCAAACCGTCGCACACCGCAATTATATAAACATTAGCGCCGGAGCTCAGAGTAGCGAGAAAGATTTTAAAAATCGCACCACATCGAAATTCTTAAACGTACTGTGAAATGATAAAAAATGTTATCTCGGGCTTTGTCCGGCACTTGAATGTACATCACCATACTTACACTCGGCTGCTGCATACATATTATACTCCGGAATGTCCGCACAAGAGAGAGAGAGAGCAACTCAATCCATATACACATATATACGTGCGGCAATTTAATAACAGCGTATGGTATATGCATACACACGTGATCAAGGGATAGGCGAGACACGGATGCGCTTCGCCTGTGCACGCATAGGTGTATATCATTACAAGAGCTCGAGAAAGTGAAAGCTCTCGTGCTGCAAAAATGCTATAGCTGGGAAACGTGGATCAGGTGGAGGAAGAAAATTCAGTCGTTAATAAGTACATTAGAGAGATAGCGCCGGATGAAGTTAGATGGAAAGCGTTTTGTGAAAATGTACCTCAATGAACATCGTTCTCGGTAAAATTTATTTTGTTTGATGTGTGGAGGTTGAGAGAAAAATTCGCTTGGTCCGTATATATTTTATAGTTTGCTGACTCAATGTGAGTATTGGGTTCGCTTTTTTATATTGTTTTTTTTTTCCCCCCCGACCACATCAAGCTACGAACTATACAATCATCGGGGGTCACTCGATCCGCAGTTTTGTAACTCGATCGTTTCCCGACATGTATACACACACACACACATATATATATACTTTTCTCGGCTTACCGCAACGGTAAAACAAAGTACGTCCTTTATCGTTACAATTTTAATTCACGAGAATAAAGAAAAATGGCAAAACGTTCGGATGCTGCGGTACAGCGACTCACCGCTACTCACATATATATATGTATATACGCAGTATAATAGTTACTGCGGGGCAGCCAATAACGGAGCAAAAAGCTCGCGCAATGTGTTGTACATGAAAAACTGTTTCACCATTAATTAGTGTCCACCAACAGGTGGAGAAAAATAAATAAAATATGTATGGTACCTCGAAGAAACCGTAGTCTGCCGAGTCGACGATGACGGTGAGCTTGTAAGTTCCATCGTTGAGGAGGCCCTCCATCGACGTGAACGGCATGACGAAGACCTTGATCGCCAGGAAGCTGATGAGAGCCGCCGAGTAGGCTGCCAGGATGATGGCCCCGGTCATGTGCACCACCCAATTGATGATACGTATCGAGTCGATGTTCACCGAGTCGTGACCTTGAATTGCACGTATACGACGTTACATGTATCGATTATCCATACATTGGTCAAACGGGGATATACCTTGGGCGCAGAGTGCCCCGAACGTGTGGAAGACGGTTTCGGTGAGCTCGAGGCTCGCCTCGTTTCTACGCTCCGGTGGAACGGACCGTTGCACCGACTGCAGCGTCTTGCACCCCATGAGGGTGAGCGCGCTCGACAGGGCGATGACTATCAGAAGACTCGTCCAGATCCCGGGGTAGAACGGGTCCGAGTACGCCGTCCACTTGATGGCCGTGTAGTACGGCCTCTTTATGTATATACGGTACCTGTCGTTTGTTCGATTTTTTTAACTATTTTTAGTTGTGGGACATTGTTTATAGCAATGCTGGGGAGGCTGATAAATACATGTATGTCGAACCGGCTCGATTTAAATAAAATAATACCGCGCCGTGTATAATATATATGGACTATCGAGTAAGACGATTTGGTATGATACTCATACTGTAAAAAAACAAATCGGTGATTCGGTGTACGAAAGTAATGTAATTTCGAGACTTTTGTTTTTTTTTTTTTTTTTTTTTTTTTTTTTTTTTTATTTACCATCATTAGTGCAATATATTGGATACCGTAACTGGATATAACTCAAATTAGACATTTGAAATCTCGAATGTTTTGTTTTTTCAACCATACTTGAGTTCAAATTTTGTAATTTTCCAACAGTTTAAAGTATTAAACGTGATTTTAACGCTGATAGACGAGAGATTTCAAATTTCTATAATGGATGAATGGAACAAACGGCCAAAAATATTGGTGTATCGTTCAGTGACCAAGGTTGCACACTTAAAGGCCAACTTCTTTGTCCAACGAATCGTTTGTTCTATTGAACTCTTGAATTATCTCAAAAAGGTTAAACATCAAGGCTTATACTAATAACAACGTATGTGTCAAGCATAACAATATTTTTCATGACATTTGAAAATTCAATTTGCAGCCAGGATAGTACTAATCACGACGTATCACATGCCTTAATGCCATGAAAAATAATGTAAATAAAAATCATACTATCAATTTCACTTACACATATAACGAATAATATTTCTATTGTTACCAAACTAAAATGAGACATACGTTGATAGCACTGTAGATCGAATAGTAGTACACAGTTATGTATACACTATAATTTACGCGTTTATACCCTTTCCAGCTAGAAATTACTACGAAGGAGATTACAAACTCTTGATTTATTTGTTTTTTTTTTTTTTTTTTTTTTTTTTTTTTTATTAATTTTTTTTTTTTTTTTTCCTCGAATGCTTTTCTACTGTTTACACGCTGTGGCAAATGTATGTTAAAATCATTTACCTTCAAGTAGTAAAGTACTGCCGATTTTTCATCAACTTTTGCCGATCATCCATAAACTTTAATACGCGAGCAACCAATGAAAAAGCAGTTTTGTTGCATTCGTTTAATCATTGGATCGTAGTAAAATCCACACATTATGTCACAATAATTTTTAATATTTTGCACTCTCACGTGTCGGTCATACCTATACATAGTAAGTATGGCCACGTATAAACTGTATTTACGTAATAATTGCAAATACTGATTAAACTGAACCGAATACATCCATATAGGTTGTCAACGACACGGTCTATACAAATTCAATAGTCATATCGGTAGCAACGGTCATAGGGTACATTATTGCCAGAAGCCTAGTGAATGCCATTGGCAAGAGGATCCTCATGGGTGAGATGAATACGTTATATACTCCCTGCATGTTAATACGGAAATGAGACGAGATGAGAGATTTGTAGCGCAACGTATTAAGATTCGAGACGATTGCGCTGCATCGAAAAATTATCTGAACTTGAATGAATTAGCCTTTACTTCTTCACCTCACGCATCACGATTCGGCTCAATTATTTACCAATTGATCGCCAGGACCATCAATTACACACACCGAACTTTTTCAAATTCTCTCTGACATTTGATGAGCAAAATACCCATACTCACTCCAAGAGATGTTACACTTGAGCTTTTGTGCGTCACTACTCGATCGTTGGAATAAGAACACACACACACACACACAGATTCATAAACTCATCTTATCTATTAATAAACGTGCAGTCATGTCTCTGGGTGGAAAATAATGCTTTCCAATGAAAATGGAAGAAACAAAAGGGCAGATTAACAATTTGTGAAATTCATATTCGCATAGAGTATACAACTTGTTTGTCTCTACTCTTCCATGTAAATTTCAACAGTCGCGTTATTAACTCTTGTATCGTTTGAGTTTACTTTGCTCTTTGAAATCGCTCGATTTGGTTGTTAGCACAAAGAGTTGAAACAACACTCTTTTAGCCCCGAAAAAACCAAGATCACGTAATATCCTTCCAGCACCGTAAGGTTCACGAGCGTAAACCATATTTTGCTATCAGTGTAAGCTGGGAGAGAAAAAATAATACGAAAATCATCATAGGCAGACAAGTTAGAGGCCTGAGTCACTCGGCAGTGATTTAATGAACAAAGTGTAGTGACGTTACTAGATCAAGATCAAACAGAACTTAAATAACGCGCTTGAAAGCTCCACACGGATCTTCTGATTAGTCGTTAAGTGGCAAGCATAACTTTACTATGGTAGCGCTTTTAGATGATATTTTCTTCAAGGGAATCACACATCCACGATATATTCCTTATGAAACGTTTAATATTGAATCGATGTATATATATANCTTTGTTGAAAGTATCGTGTGCGTGGGAGGGTGGGGGTGACGATATTATGGATGCACAAGTTAAATGATAATGGGCTCCGGTTTCTTAAAACATCGGGTGGACCTGTAGAGGGACTTGGTAACAACTTTGTCTGTACAAGCGCGTCGAGTGTGGCTCCAAAATCAGAAATTGACTCGACGGGGGCGACTTTTAACGGGGGCGTGCCGGAAATGGCATAATCATGCAAGTCCCGCTTGTTGTTGACAGTTTTTTTTACATAATTTGATACGTCATCTGCATAGACCAAGCAGTTTGAGGTCGAAAGAGTCACTATGTGTGAAAAATTTTTAGAAAAGGTATTTATATAATGTATGGTACATCGATGAGGTCACACAACTCGTTGAATGTTACAGTATAATACATTCACAATAAATTGAGGTGGCTTTGGAATTTTCTAAAAATCCTATAGGTTTCTTGTGAAAAAAATCAATTTTATTGTTCGAGGTATGTCGAGTAATTGCGGAGTCATATTCGATTTCTTGACGATTAATCGGTGATTTTTCGAAAGTTGTATATCGATGACCTCAGTAACTTTCCTGATTGGAAATTAATGTGCAACAGGATATAAGTTTCGTGGACTTTTGTCGAGCAGTTGAGTGCCCAAGTCACCTCAAGTTGTTTAATGAAACACCACACACTCAAAAGTTTCGATTAAGAATAGGTATACGTGTGTTGACAGCACACGTTTGCTGACCCCCCACTAAAACACCCCCCTCATCATTTTTTTTTTTTTTTTTTTTTTTTTTTTTCCTCCACAGGCCAATTGGAGAGCTTGAAAAGGGCCAGCTTGGCGCGAATATTCTGCGACAATGGCGACAGCATTGCAATGATGCAGCCCAACGTCTTTCTCCGGCCGCAAAAGGGGTGAGGATCAATCGATCTTGCTCGAAACGAGTGTACGTATGTTGATAATTTTAAGATAAAAATCTATTCTCATCTTTCAAGCAGAAACGAGTTGGAGTCGTGCCACAATTTCGAAAGGATCCCGAGCGTCGATCTGTTTGCGTGGGCCGAGAAGGCCAAGGCTTACCGTTGAATGGTGTTTTGATTGACTCGTCACTCTTCGTGTTGAACGTCTCGGTGGACGTACCACGACGCGCGCCAAGATGCAATCGGATGGTGATATTCCCTGGTGGCGCCCTCGAGCTCTGACTTTGAAGCGTAAGCAGGAGAGTAAGGTATTACGCGCTTCTCGAAGGTCAAAGTTGGGAAGCGATCTGCTGTCTTGCGTGGGATTGGTCAAATTTTTGGAAATTCGACGCCTGCACCGTCCAAGGTGGAGCGAGTACATTTAAACATTTTTGAGCCTTTTGATTCGTGAGATCTGAAAAAATACACTTAAAGTATTATTTACTCATCGAACGACCAAAGCAATACTTTTGGATATCACGTAAACATATATTGCCTTTTTTTACTGTGTCACCTACTTTGAAGATAAATTCATCGTTTCCATTTAATAATTATCCGTCTTTTGACGATACAATGGTTTAATGGATCGCAATATTTTTAATACTATAAACTGTACCAAAGTATTAATCGGTGGTAATAAAAATTCGACGCAATATCAACAAAATACAAACGAGTCTGTTATGAATTGAGCGAAACTTGAAGGGTTTGAGTCCAAATGAATAACTTTTATGTACCAAAGTTGTAAAAAATTATACAGACGAAAACCTCAAAAATTGATATGAAAGTGACTTGTCAATCGTTTTTATAGCTTTAAAGCTTGTATCTATTTGTTTGGGAGAAAAAAATGTTATAATGCGAATGTATAAGCATTGGAACGAACCCAATGCAAATTTTAATCCAAAATATTTAATTATATGATAAATAATGTTAAAGTAGTTCTTAAAAATCACGCAAATGTATGTGTGCATGTATGTTTGTTATACAAACCCGAACTGATTAGTAGTTAGGAAAAAGTAAATTCCTGTAATTTCTGAGTAAAAATAAATGGTTGTTGAAAAAACAACCCTTCGGTCCAGCCCAGCAGGTGAACAACCAACAAGACTCATTATCCCCTCTCGTCCTTACAATTGGGACTTTTTTTAAAAATTTTTTTTTTTTTTTTTTTTTTTTTTTTTTTTTTTTTTTTTTTTTTTTTACTAATATGTTTTTATCTTTTTCGGAACTTGGTCGAATACTTTGGACGTACTGTTTTAGCTTGAATATATTTTTCACGATGTTTAATGTCACAGTTTTCATCAATTAATTATACAAATATATTGAAAGTAAATTTTTTTCTTTTCATAACAAATGGTATTTGATGTTCCAACGTACTTACACTTTCATATTTATATCGTGAATCTTTACACTTTTTTTTGCAATAAATGTTTGCTATTTTTATTCAAGAGCATTGAGTTAATATTACAATTTAATGCTGAAACTTTTGAACTATTTGTTTCTTATAAAAATTTTTTATGTTACGATTGTTTTTTTCACAACTATTAATCGATTGATTATTTTCCAGCATTTGTATGTTCGGCGTATCCTTCTTTTTCCTTTTTTTATTCCAGATAGTGTTTTGATTGACTCGTCACTCTTCGTGTTGAACAATAAAAAAAAAAAGTTCGTTGATTGGCTCAATAAAATTATATTTTTTTTTTGTATGATTTGCATTACAGTTGTTTTGTGCATAAAGGCACACAGATCATAATAAGCCCAAGCGTAGCAGTGAATAATGTATTATAACTGCCTACAATAGGGTGCGACCGAGATCGGGAGATCCAGATCGTGTATGTAACTCAATTCGGATATACCTTTACAAATATCTATATAAAATAATCATAAACATCATTTATATGTATACGTACGCATAACAGTATCGTCTTTCTGTCCGTTTGTAAAAAAAAATATTATAAAAAAACGGGTGCGCGAGTCGAGGCGCAATCATTTGACCGATCCCGTAACGGGCGAATCGATCATCGAAGGTCGCGCCTATACTGGTACGTAGGAAATATTATAAGTACTTATACTCGATCAGTCACATTTCAATTTATGTCACGTCGAGTTTGCAGCCATAGTCCATAATCACTTTACGTTTCAATAATGAATGAAACCTGCCCACGATTTTCGATGCCACCTCGATTCGCTCGGTATGCGGAAAGCTTTGTACGTTCCCGATTTTTGTTTCAATTTTTTTTTTTTTCTTTTCAATCACACCTGTTGCAGCGCGAGAGTCGGATTTTACCGTAAGTTTCGAAGCTGAGGCCGCGCTTTGCTCGCCCCCTTTATTTAGATGCATTCAATTAACACACACCGATGCAATCGATGGATAACCGATGCACCCGATCGATCGACCGCGAACGACAGCTTCGAGACTTTGCTTTATTTATTTTTTTTTTTTTCCATTCACCAAACAGATTGTTGAGGAGTCCAGTGCAAGGAGCTACGGGAGAAGGTGTGCGCGTGCGATGGGAGCCAAAAGCTCCCTACTCGGCGTTGATTTATTTCTCGACTCTCGCGCTGCACGAGGCACAAATACAAATCGGAGTACTTAACTACTCGTTATTAATGCCAGCGACGGCTAACAAAATATCGACGCGTTACTCCGATTTGTCGAGCGATTTTCCGGGGAGTGATCGGTAAAGGTGCCACCATATCTCGTTGTTTCCGGCATTGAAGCCCTGTTTTACCGATAACTCCTCCTCAAACCCAATGCTCCCGCGTATACCGTATATTACAATAAATATAAGGATTTATATACAGGCATCCACATGCCGAGGAGGGAGCGAGGCGTGCACTGGCTACCGAACCCCAGGGCCGTGAGCGTAGCTCTGGTCACCGAGGACGATCGGGCCGACGACACCAAGACCCTCGCCCTCGCCACTTGGACCGAATTCGTCGCCCACGACATGGCTCACACTCCCGTTCGCAAGATGAGTGAGTATACACCACCACAACCAACTTTAACTCGCGTGTATACACCGATTGGCGATTGAAACGAAAATGTTTGCTCGTGTACTGTATACAGTTTGGACCGGTAAGCCGATCTCGTGCTGCAGGGACGACGGCGGTTGGCCGCTGCCGCGATACATACACCCCGACTGCGAGGCTGTCTCGGTAGCCGAAACCGACCCAGTTTACGGGGAGCAGGGACTGCGTTGCCTTAACTACGTCAGGTCACAGCCCGCGCTCGGCGCCGACTGCACCTTCGGTCCAGCCCAGCAGGTGAACAACCAACAAGACTCATTATCCCCTCTCGTCCTTACAATTGGGACTTTTTCATAAAATTTGTTGTTTTTTTTTTTTTTTTTTTTTTTTATAAATTTCTTTTATAGTCAGAAAAGTTGTTTTTTTCTGTATCAATTTGTTTTTTTTTTTTTTTTTTTTTTTTCCCCTCCTCCAATCAGATGAACCAAGCGAGCCACTTTTTGGACGGCTCCACCGTTTACGGCTCGACCCTGAACAAGTCGAGCGAGGTACGCGCCTTCGAGTCGGGCCTCTTGCGCGCCAGCGTCAAGGACAACCTCGAGTACCTGCCCGTCGCGCCAAAGTCCCTCTGCGGAACCAAGAGCTGCTACCTCACCGGTAAGTCGCGCCATAGCGACGCTACCTATATATACTCCATATGTGGCGTTGCTTTGTTCGCTTTTTGTCATGATCCGCAGATAAGATAAGCTCGCCCTACATTTGGGGTGACAAACTTTCCACCGCTGTTATTGGTACACATATATAGACAGGAATGCCGTGGCTCGAGGGGGTGTTTTTTCCCATTTGAAAAAAATTTCAGTTTTTTTTTTGTTTTTTTTTCAAAGTTTCCTTCCGTCGAAATTCCAGGTGACGAGCGCGCCAACTCCGAGCCCCGGTTGGTTGCGCTGCACACGCTGTGGATGCGCGAGCACAACCGCGTGGCTCGCCAACTCCTCCGGTTGAATCCCGGCTGGTCGGACGAGGTGGTCTACCAGGAGGCCAGGCGCATCGTCGTCGCCGAAATCCAGCACGTCACCTACAACGAGTGGCTGCCGGCGGTGATCGGCAACCGGTTGGCTGGCTCGGCCGGTCTCGGGCTCACCTCGAACTACAGCAGCCTGGGCTACAGCCCCTACAAGGACCCCTCGGTCCGCAACGAGGCTGCCACCGCTGCTCTGCGCTTCGTCGCCTCGCTCGAGCAGAGCAAACTCAGGTGAGGAGCAATATAATATTATGGCGATGGACGAAAAGTTGGATTGACGATTGTTTGACCGACGCGTTACAGTTTGATCGACGACACGGGGCGGGTCAACGACAGCGCGCGCCTGTTGGACCATTTCAACGAACCGCGGGCCATCGAGACGGACGATGTCCTGGACAGGCTAGTCCGCGGTCTGGCCACTCAAGGCGCCCGAAAGGTGGACCTCCGCGTGATTTCCGACGTGACGCAGGAGCTGTACAAGACCGGGGGTCCCGTTGGATTGGACCAAGTTGCTTTCGACATACAGCGCGGCCGCGACCACGGTATTCCGGGTTACAACGAGTACCGCAAGCACTGCGGCCTCAAGTCTGCCAAGAGGTTCGATGACTTTTTGGACGTCGTTCCGACCGAGGTGAGTGCCGATTTTTTTTTTTTTTCTCTCTTCTTTTCTTCACAGTGTCAATGTACACCCGGTGGTTCTTGCAGACGGTCAAGAAGCTGCAGGCGCTGTACAAGCATCCCGACGATGTGGATCTGTTCGTCGGAGGTCTGGTGGAGAGGGCCGTGGAGGACGGCGCGGTGGGACCGACGTTTCGTTGTTTGCTGTCGAATCAGTTTGTCAGGACTCGTCAGAGCGACCGGTACTTCTACGACACCTTGGACCAACCGAAGCCTTTTGCTCCAAGTGAGTGTGCAGTGACAAACATCCCTGGTAATGATTATGTACTGGGGGACTGATTTTTTTTTTTTTTTTTTTTTTTTTCCTCCACAGGCCAATTGGAGAGCTTGAAAAGGGCCAGCTTGGCGCGAATATTCTGCGACAATGGCGACAGCATTGCAATGATGCAGCCCAACGTCTTTCTCCGGCCGCAAAAGGGGTGAGGATCAATCGATCTTGCTCGAAACGAGTGTACGTATGTTGATAATTTTAAGATAAAAATCTATTCTCATCTTTCAAGCAGAAACGAGTTGGAGTCGTGCCACAATTTCGAAAGGATCCCGAGCGTCGATCTGTTTGCGTGGGCCGAGAAGGCCAAGGCTTACCGTTGAATGGTGTTTTGATTGACTCGTCACTCTTCGTGTTGAACGTCTCGGTGGACGTACCACGACGCGCGCCAAGATGCAATCGGATGGTGATATTCCCTGGTGGCGCCCTCGAGCTCTGACTTTGAAGCGTAAGCAGGAGAGTAAGGTATTACGCGCTTCTCGAAGGTCAAAGTTGGGAAGCGATCTGCTGTCTTGCGTGGGATTGGTCAAATTTTTGGAAATTCGACGCCTGCACCGTCCAAGGTGGAGCGAGTACATTTAAACATTTTTGAGCCTTTTGATTCGTGAGATCTGAAAAAATACACTTAAAGTATTATTTACTCATCGAACGACCAAAGCAATACTTTTGGATATCACGTAAACATATATTGCCTTTTTTTACTGTGTCACCTACTTTGAAGATAAATTCATCGTTTCCATTTAATAATTATCCGTCTTTTGACGATACAATGGTTTAATGGATCGCAATATTTTTAATACTATAAACTGTACCAAAGTATTAATCGGTGGTAATAAAAATTCGACGCAATATCAACAAAATACAAACGAGTCTGTTATGAATTGAGCGAAACTTGAAGGGTTTGAGTCCAAATGAATAACTTTTATGTACTAAAGTCGTAAAAAATTATACAGACGAAAACCTTAAAAATTGATATGAAAGTGACTTGTCAATCGTTTTTATAGCTTTAAAGCTTGTATCTATTTGTTTGGGAGAAAAAATGTTATAGCCTGGGCTACAGCCCCTACAAGGACCCCTCGGTCCGCAACGAGGCTGCCACCGCTGCTCTGCGCTTCGTCGCCTCGCTCGAGCAGAGCAAACTCAGGTGAGGAGCAANAACAGAATCTGCAAAAGTTGTGAACATGTCGTGTGACTGTAAGCGAGTTTACGTGTGAAATTATACATATGGGTTACCTTTTCGGGTATTGGGTGTACGCTTTTTGCTGTTTTGTATTTTCATGTGAATAATAATAAATAATAACACGTATAGCGATTTTTTCTTATTTTTTGAGTGGTGGAATTAAATGCATGATATCGCATTGATTTCCGTGTTTGTATTTTAACATCATATGCTAATTCCTGTCACTGATATCACGTCATCCCTTTTAGTCCTATTTCTCCAAGTTGGCGAGTCTGTCGTAAGGTCCCCTCTAGGAGAAAGTGACCCCGTAGACGATTTGGTCTTCCATCTTGTAATGGGTAATGTTTGCAGGGCGCATTCATTACCTCAAGCAGATCCCAGTTTTAAAACTAATAGTGACCCCACCAAGGGGCTGTCCTCGACGAGGTGCCTTACAACATCCGAAAAAATCCACTAATTATTCGTCTTAGATACCACCAAGCTATGAAGATCTTACAAATGAGAGATACAATATACTTATGATAATAGCGCCCAGATTCTATAAAAAAAATTAAAAAATTAAACCTATACAGAAAACTTTGATCTAACTCGTATGAAATTCCGTATACACGAGGTTCTCGAATTCACGCGAATTGGATAATCATTTCAGAAAACTCGTTTTATTTTCTTCGTCATTGCGTCATTTCTATTCTTCACTTCCGTAAGAATAGAACTTTTCTTAAATGCGGCGAATAACAAAGTCTGCATCGCGTGAACTTTTGTTTCATACGAACTTGTACCTGTGATCTTGCTAATTTTTTCAACAGAAAATACGCTTGAAATTCGTTTGAGCTAAGCACATAGAGACCCTAAAATGATAACGCGTAAGGAACATCATACAAAGTATCTTGCAGGGACGAAAACGCGGTAATGCAATTGCACAAGACTTTCCTCGCAAAAAAAAGTCTATAATTGGCACCAGGTGTATTGTAACGTATTGTAATGATTGCCATTATTTACACCAGCTCTTTTCCCTCCTGAACCTACCTCGGTAAATGCTAGGGAAGCGTTTGCGAAAGTACACGATCGCGGGCAGCTTGGTGACGCCCCATTTCCTCGCGTAGCGCGGATCGGCCATTTTAACGAACGTTATGTCGAGGTTGTCGGTCTCCCCGTCAATGTTCTCCAGCCTGGCGTTGACCTCGTCGCTTTCCTTCGAGCCGTGCTCGTCTGCCGAAAACAAAAACGACCGAGAGACATTCCACTCACGTGCACTGACACAAGAGATCGACATCGTAAAACATATAAACAAATCGTTCTCACAGAAGAACACGGCGAGGAACTCGTTCTCATCGAGCAGCTTGTCGAGCATCTTCTTGTTCACCTCCTCGATCTCGTTCTTAATCTCGAAGACGTCCTGGGAGGTGAGCCACTGCAAAACCTTGTCCTCCTGCGTGAGGTCGCCGTCGTAGACGAGGGGCGTCTTTTTCCGTAAGTAGACGAGCGACGGCACGTTCAGGATCCCGTACTTCTCCGCCTCGTCCGGAGTCGACACCTTCACGAAGTCTATGCCAAACAAGTCCGCTTCGCCGTCGATTTTCTCCAGCGCCTCCAGTATGTCATCACATTCGGGGCAGTCCTNTGTTTTATTTTTTATTTTTTAAGTTGATACGTGAGATAAAAGGTTGACATGGTTCAGCTACGTATACACGAGCTAGATTATTTAAGGCAGAGAAAAAGTGTTTCTTTATAGCTTGCAGTGAAAAAAGCTTTTAAAAGCAGATAAAGTCGGACAAACGAAAAAACGTATCCTTAATCCAAATGGTCAAGCTTATATTATTTCAGCGAGTAATCGCAAGCTTCTTATGCCCGCTTGTATTTGCTTGTACTCCTCTTCTTCGATCGAGGATTTCTTAATCGACTTATTAGTTATGTCAACCAGTATAGTATTTATTTGTGTACAAAAGAAAAAAATACACGAGCAGGAAGCAAATAAATAGCTGACTTTTTAAACGACGATTATTTATTAAACCTTATTTTTAATGTCACGCGTTATTAGCCAAGTGCCGAAATTCAATGGGGTTGATGCAAACAAAGATTCATTTTTATTTTTATTTTGTTATAATGTAATTTCCCAACTTAGGAGGATTCATGTACAATTTTACTACACCGTGTGTCTCCTTCGACTCTTACAATTTGGAATCCATCACCAAACAAGGTTTCAAAACAAAACTTGTCGACTCGTTATACAACTTGTCCAACGATATTCATAAGATTGTTGTCTTTGTTTCCATAATGTACAGTATACTCGTGCTGACTCAACCTTGAATAAATTAGTTGGTACACGAAGCCTTTACGAATATCTGAAAAGGCGACATAAGGAGGAGGAAACTGTAACAGCCAACGTTTTGTTTCGCGGTAACAAGCTCAAGTTTCTACGTTACGCTGTGCTTTCCAACAGTTTTGAAATAAACCCAAGACATCCCAGACGTACGTAAAATGACACGACGAGCAGTTGACAAAATTGAAAAAATAAACAAATACCAGAGATTGAATATTAAGTGAAGAAAAAGTCGTAGAAGCCAAAAACGAGGCTGCAGGGATGAAAAGAAGAAGAGGTACCTTGACACACTCTCCTCGCAGCAGATCCCTCGACTTTCGTTCCCACAGTCCGTCTCGCACGAAATCCGATCGTCGATAAATCACTTTGCAGCTCTTGCGAGAAAAGTTCCGTGGGAGCGTCCGTCGTCGTCATCGCTCATCGGCCACAGCCCTTCTTTGACCAAGTTAATCGACAAAAAAAGGATGGGTTAGCTTAAATTTTTTTTTTTTTTTTTTTTTCATGTCAGAGAAAAAGGGGAAAAACGGAACATGAAGCTGCAAGCTCTCAGCAAAGATTTTTTTTTTTTTTTTTTTTTTTTTTTTTTTTTTTTTTTTTTTGCTTTATTTGTGTTCATCCGTCACGCGGAGATTCAACCGCGACGGGTCTATTTGCCGACTTCCGGTCCAATAAAATTTTTCACTTTCTTTCCTCGCACATGCTCCTCCGCTTTTTTTTCATTTTTGTTTGATCTCTGTTTGGATACAGAATATTTCACTTATCATCGTGAAAGAAAAGTAGTACACACAATTTCGAAAGGATCCCGAGCGTCGATCTGTTTGCGTGGGCTGAGAAGGCCCAGGCTTACCGTTGAATGGTGTTTTGATTGACTCGTTACTCTTCGTGTTGAACGTCTCGGTGGACGTACCACGACGCGCGCCAAGATGCAATCGGATGGTGATAATCGTGATATTCCCTGGTGGCGTCCTCGAGCTCTGACTTTGAAGCGTAAGCAGGAGAGTAAGGTATTACGCGCTTCGCGAAGGTCAAAGTTGGGAAGCGATCTGCTGTCTTGCGTGGGATTGGTAAAATTTTTGGAAATTCGACGCCTGCACCGTCCAAGGTGGAGCGAGTACATTTTTGAGCCTTTTGATTCGTGAGATCTGAAAAAATGCACTTAAAGTATTATTTACTCATCGAACGACCAAAGCAATACTTTTGGATATCACGAAAACATATATTGACTTTTTTTACTGTGTCACCTATTTTGAAGATAAATTCATCGTTTCCATTTAATAATTATCCGTCTTTTGACGATACAATGGTTTAATGGATCGCAATATTTTTAATACTATAAACTGTACCAAAGTATTAATCGGTGGTAATAAAAATTCGACGCAATATCAACAAAATACAAACGAGTCTGTTATGAATTGAGCGAAACTTGAAGGGTTTGAGTCCAAATGAATAACTTTTATGTACTAAAGTCGTAAAAAATTATACAGACGAAAACCTTAAAAATTGATATGAAAGTGACTTGTCAATCGTTTTTATAGCTTTAAAGCTTGTATCTATTTGTTTAGGAGAAAAAATGTTATAATGCGAATGTATAAGCATTGGAACGAACCCAATGCAAATTTTAATCCAAAATATTTAATTATACGATAAATAATGTTAAAGTAGTTCTTAAAAATCACGCAAATGTATGTGTGCATGTATGTTTGTTATACAAACCCGAACTGATTAGTAGTTAGGAAAAAGTAAATTCCTGTAATTTCTGAGTAAAAATAAATGGTTGTTGAAAAAACAACAAACCAATACTCTAATAAAACAATACTTATACGATTTTATTTTTTGTCCTTCAACTTCAGGAGGAGTCATCAATATTGGACAAACAAACAGACTTTTTTTACAGATGATGAAAGCGTAAATTGTGTCCTGCACATCACAAATCTATATTTCACCGGTGATGGTGCAGCAGTTGATGATATCATGATATTGCTTGTATTAGACGTGGAAACAAAAATAAAAATATCCATTTCTTTTATTAAATAGTCATACAAATTTATTTAGACAACACATGATCTTTCTAATATACTTTCAATATTTACCGGTCAAATTGAATAACATGAACATTGAATTCCAATCGAATGAACACTTTCAATTCTTTTTTTAATGGAAAAAATTTATCGTAGAAAGAACGTCCGTAAGCCTAACAATAAATACGCTATCCTTTTTTTCAATCATCATTTAATAAAACAATTCGATTTAGCTAATTAGCTATTGAATAAATGTAATACGTAAACAGAGATTACATAGTTTTACTTGCAACATTTTAATTTACACAATATTTGAATGTAAGACCAATGATCATAAATTAGTTGTAAATATATTGCTGAGTTATTTATTAAATCACCATTATTTTATAACTAAACACTCTATACATCCACAAATGTGCATATACATATGTATTGTGTTTTGGATTCGTATGGAATTTAAAAGAGNCTGGTATAAATGCAGGGTACGCGTGTGCCTCGCAGGTGAGGTGAAAACGCGTATTTGTAGGGACACAAGATCATTGTTTTTATCGAGTTTCTACTTTGGTGCGCAAAATTAAGTTTCTTGCGTACAATTGAAAAAAGAGAAAAAAAGAGTTTTGTGCAGCTTGACATCGAGGCATGAAACCCAACAATGGAGCGAAGAGTAACGGCTGGTCGTATCGTACGAGCAATGCGGGCACACACGCGTCAGCAAACGAAACATAAAAACTACGGGAGTCTCTTTTGGTGCAATCGCATAATGGTCCGATAAACAAAACTTCCATCGTCGCTGTGATTTATATGCATGAGTACCTATACTGCACGGGTGCTTTTTTTCCACATTTTTACACGCTCTTTTGGTAAACATCGTTAGACCGATGTCCCAACATCAATTTATCCCGGTAATGTCAAAGGGCCATTTTTTCAAAAGAAATTAACTCGACACTCGGTATCACCCTCTGCGCGATGAATAATTAATATTTTTCTCGTTAAAAGCTCGCTTCGGTACGGGTCAAGGTAAAAAAACTGCGCTAACGTGATTTGGCTCGTTTTACCCAACAATGTAAACCAAACCTTATCAAATCCATCTAAAAACGCCTCGTTAACCTTTTTTTATTTCTTTTAGTTGTAAATTTGGTGCCCCAAAAAATTTACTCCTCCGTAATCGATGGTAACTATATTTGCACACAAATCTTTTTCATCTATCGATATCCCGCGTAGCGCATAAATCACTCGAGCCACGTGTTGTCCCTTGGTGGGTGCACGTGCAAAACGAGAAATCAAATTGAGCGGCTTCTGGCCCGTTGTTTGCTTCGGGGCTCATCAGCGAAATCAAGCGAGCGGCAATTATTAATCAAACGACACATCCCACACGAATGATGGCAATGTACCGAATCAGTAAGTCCCATCAAAACCCCGTGTACAACTGGGGAGAGAAGCCGGTCTCACGAGGGGTACAAAGACATGCAAGCAACTATTCGATTAAATCTACTCGTGACAACAAAAGGAGCTGGCGCGTTGCATTGTGTGCCTCAAACGCAGATGCTCTATGGTTTACAACAATCGTGATTTCGAGAGGAAGGGCGCTCAGGGATATATGTTATTGCGTCGTATTTCATTGCTTATTTGCCTGTCTTTGGCCTGATGTAAGCTCGTTATTAATAGCACGTGGTTTCCAATAGATTTGGAGAAATTGTGCCGATACGCGCATAAATCATTACCAAATAAACATATATTCACACGTTACTCGTGTCGGCTTTCATCATCGTAAGGAATTATTCATTTTGCGTCAAATTTGCGAAATGCTTTTACCTGTTTTTTTCAAGCAGTTTATAAAAAGTCATTGCGTTACTTCTACTCGGTAGCTATGAATTCTTCTTTCAAATCAAATGTATGATTGGATAGTTACAAAATCTAAGGAAGACGATAAAAATGAAAAAAAAAAAGAACTTTGTACTTTTTGATCGTATTTTATCGTTTTACTATGCATGAATAACAAATTCCAAACATGTTTACCAAAAAATAGACCATTTTCGCTGTTAGTCAGGTCAGGTATCATGTTTTATTTTTTATTTTTTAAGTTGATACGTGAGATAAAAGGTTGACATGGTTCAGCTACGTATACACGAGCTAGATTATTTAAGGCAGAGAAAAAGTGTTTCTTTATAGCTTGCAGTGAAAAAAGCTTTTAAAAGCAGATAAAGTCGGACAAACGAAAAAACGTATCCTTAATCCAAATGGTCAAGCTTATATTATTTCAGCGAGTAATCGCAAGCTTCTTATGAGCTTTGTCATTTTTTCATCCTCGGGATGATTATTTACTCCCGTCTGCGTGATTCCTTCCTTTTAAATGCAGATTGAAAAAAAAAAAAAAAAAGAATTTGGTCCATCATCGTGAGAGAAAGAGCTTTTGATATCAACTAGTTTCAGGGATTAAACGTCGGATATGGGACGGTGAAAGTTGTAGAGTTTCGGACGATCGCAGCAGTTTATTACGAGTACTATTCTCGTACACGAACTTTTCTTATTAAACATGTAAAAAATTTTAATCTGGCATCCAACGGTTTCATACACTTACTCGAGTCTAAAATTTCGTTTAAAAAAAAATCAAACAATAACCATAAATTAATAAAGCCATCAAATAGTGATTGGTTTACGTATAATAATTTAATTTTAACTGAAAGCTGAAAATCTGATATTGGATACTAAAAATTTGTAGAAAAATTTTAATTAAATTTTTCAACAATTTGTGCTTTTGAAAGAACACTTTGCCGGTGACACGAATATCCCTTTTCCGCGTGATGAGAAATACGTGTTTAATTATTATTTCATCACACGAAACGTCTTTGATAACATGACACATTTTTAACGACGTACCTACATGACGACATAAAAAAAAAGGTTTTTTTTTTTTAATAATATATACGAAAATAAAAGGAGAGTCGCAGTTTAATTAAAAAGTCGCATCATTAGCACCCAGAGTTTTCCGAAACGACTTGTTTTCAACGTAACTTAGAAAAAGACGTAAATGAAGAAGAAAAAAAAAATTCACGAGATAAACAGAGTAAGAGAGAGATAGAGAAGAAAAGAGGGGAAATCGCGGAGAAAACGAGGAAACTTGCGCGTGAGGACGGGAAATGCGCGGAAAACAATGAGGCGGAAGATGACAACGGCGACGAGAAGGTGCGCGCAACGAGAGAATAAGACATTGCCATTGAGAGTGGAAAAGACGTAAAAATAAAAAGGCCAGCGCAAGGGGGGAAGCTCGCAAGACTCGGGAGTGAAAATAAAGGCGAACTTAAGCTGGTATAAATGCAGGGTACGCGTGTGCCTCGCAGGTGAGGTGAAAACGCGTATTTGTAGGGACACAAGATCATTGTTTTTATCGAGTTTCTACTTTGGTGCGCAAAATTAAGTTTCTTGCGTACAATTGAAAAAAGAGAAAAAAAGAGTTTTGTGCAGCTTGACATCGAGGCATGAAACCCAACAATGGAGCGAAGAGTAACGGCTGGTCGTATCGTACGAGCAATGCGGGCACACACGCGTCAGCAAACGAAACATAAAAACTACGGGAGTCTCTTTTGGTGCAATCGCATAATGGTCCGATAAACAAAACTTCCATCGTCGCTGTGATTTATATGCATGAGTACCTATACTGCACGGGTGCTTTTTTTCCACATTTTTACACGCTCTTTTGGTAAACATCGTTAGACCGATGTCCCAACATCAATTTATCCCGGTAATGTCAAAGGGCCATTTTTTCAAAAGAAATTAACTCGACACTCGGTATCACCCTCTGCGCGATGAATAATTAATATTTTTCTCGTTAAAAGCTCGCTTCGGTACGGGTCAAGGTAAAAAAACTGCGCTAACGTGATTTGGCTCGTTTTACCCAACAATGTAAACCAAACCTTATCAAATCCATCTAAAAACGCCTCGTTAACCTTTTTTTATTTCTTTTAGTTGTAAATTTGGTGCCCC